GCAAAGCAGCTCTGAAGGAGAGATGGGCTGATTGCTGCATGCTCATCGGCCAGCCAGTGGAGAGCACTGGGAGGCCCTAGGGTTTGCCCCGAAGACAAGGTGGAGCTGAGACCTGCGCCCCCAAACACATGCCCACCTTGGGGTAGAGGGCAGAGAGAACAGGTTTGGAGAGTCTGTGGTCCTGGCTCCAGGACTCACATGGACTTGGAGAGGCCTCTTAGCTTTCAGAACCCCAGCGTCCTTATTATAAAATCAAGCTATATGGGCGCCAGGGGTGGCACAGTCGGTTGGGTGTCTGACTCCTGATTTCGGCTCAGGTCATGATCTCAGGGTGGTCGCTGGGCCTGGAGCCCACTGGGGATCCTCTCTCTCCCTCTCCCTCTGGTCCTCCCCAAAATAAAATCAAGGTTCCAATACCATGTCTGCTATTTAGATACATATAATGAGGGCGTGAAAGAGGAATTTCTGAGATGTGAAGAGAGGTACTAACGCAAACGTGTCAAAATCAGTGATAATTATAACATCATCAATGACATCGAAGAAAAGAACAAATGGCAATCATGTGGTCCCTTCACTCAACCTGAACCTATAGGACCCGCACTAAGCGCCAGGAAAGGTCAAGATCAACCACCCAGTATATCTTTAAGAAAGCCTGGGGGTGCTCTGAGCTGGGTCTCCTCGTCTCTCTAGTTTGTGTCCACACCATAGCACAGTACTTCTTGATTTTGGCTGCAGGTTATGAGAGAAACCTGGAGAGCTTCAAAACCATCCATCCCCGAAGTCCACATGTCACTCCCAGCTATTCTGAACTACCTGGTCATGTGTCGAGCCTGGGCATCAGGATTTTAGATTTTTTTTTAAATTTAAAGGTTTCATTTTTTTTTATTATTGTGATGATAAAACATCCCCAACAGAATTCACCATCGTTGACTATTTTTTGGTGTACATTTCAGTGGCATTAAGTACGTTCCTTGTGTAACTCTCACTCTCACCGTCGGAACTTCTTCATCTTTCCAAACTGAAACTCTGTACCCCGTCAATGACAGCTGCCCCACCCGTCCCTCCTCCCAGCCCCAGTAACCACCGGTCTGTGTTTCGTCTTAATGGATCTGCGTACTCGAGTCGCCTCCTAGGCATGGGGTCGTACAATATTGGTTTTAGGGTACTAGTATTTTCTAAAAGCTCTCCCAGTGATTCTCTGCGCAGTTCAGACCAGAAGGTAGTGCCAAGCAGGGCTTGCGTATGAAGTCATTTTTGGGAAAAGAGAACAGGATGGAGGTGTGGATGAAGATGATGGGAAAATTATGAATTGGGGCAAAATAATGGGAAAAATTTCAACTCTCTCCTGAAACAACATTTAGGCCAGATATTGTCTGCATGGAAATCCAGCGGGAAGCAATGAGCCGTATTTGTTAGGGAGACCATCTGAGGGAAGGAAATTTTGAATCCTGCAACCCGGCTTTGAGCCTTTGCTATGCTGTTGACTAGCTGTGTGCTCTTCAGTGAACCACTTAATATTGCTGAATTTCACTTTTTCTGTCTGCAAACTGGAGAGGATCTTAGCTACCTCTCAGGGATGTTGCAGGTCAAAAGCAGAGGCAAAGCATGTGAAAGTGTCTATGGCATTACAAAATCCTACCCAGACGGCAGTTGTGGCTGCTATTATAAACCGGGAACAATCACTTCCATCCTACCTTATTTTTTAAAAGTGCATTAACCTCAGCAAGTAAAGGTCTAGAGAGCACCACTGTTTTAACAGGGGCCAAGCCGTGACTATAGAATACTTAATTTAAAGGGGCTTAAAGACTGTTATAAATTAATTTTTAAAATCAAGTCTTACTTCCTGGGCACAAATAACCTTTACAGAGCACAGTCATTTTCAAGAGACAAGCTGGAAGGGTGATTATGCCATTTTAAAGCAAAGAAAGGCGTTCTAATTTGATAAGTGAATTGAAGAAGTAGTAATAAACGTCATCTCCTCAACTTCTTTCCTTTGTGCTTGATGCCAGCACCTTCTTTCTTTTGTGCTTGATGCCAGCACCTGCCCTTTGTGAAGTACAACACACACGCATGCACACACACACACACATAGAGCTCCGGGGCTCTTGAGGTTCTGGGGCTGTGTGGGGCTGTGTGGGGCTGTGTGTGTGTCTTTTCAAACAAGATGGAGCCAAGGTTGTATGGTGTCTTCTCTTTATTTTTCCATTTAATATTTCAAGTAATAAAGCTAGCTATTAGAGAAAAAGCATGCATGTGTGTGTGAGAGAGAGGGAGAGAGGGAGAGAAATGGGGAGGAGGGTGAAAAGGAAGGAGGGAGAAGCTTGATTAGCTTTGTCTTGCTAATGCACTTTGTTTTGTGGATGATGGGCCTTTCAGACAGATTCAGTCCACCTCACAAGGGGGGAGGCAACACAGAAGCAAGACAGCTCAAGTGGAAAGCTTTGCTGGGGACAAAAGATGCACCTGCAAAGCACAGACTTAATGGTCTCCGGAGGCCAGGACCGATGGTGGGAGACAAATGCCCCGGCACCACCTGAATGAGGTCCTGGCAGCGTGCGTTTGCCTGGATACTACAGTTAATTTATTTCAGAAAAGGGGTTGTTGCCCAGCAAGAGCAAGTTATTCCTGCAATAAGCCTGAATAAGCCCGGTGGCATTACAAATGCACGGCCGCCTGCACACAAAAGGGCCAAGGGAAGGGAATGCCGTATGGTAGGTAGAGGAGAGAGGCTGAAAGCTAAGACCCCTGGACGAGTAATGAGTTGCTTATCAATGCGGTTCAACTCAGACTTGCTTCTAAATGACGATCTGTATTTTAAGCCCAATATCAAATATTCTCTCATTGGCTCTGCTCTGGGGCAGAGCCTCACCGGTCTCCAGCAGGCTTTGGCCTGTAGAACTAAAGGAACTTGGAAGGATCACCTTGCGTCTCTTTTCCATCCCTTCCTCCTTCCTCTCCTCTTGCCCCCTTCCTTCCAAGAACCGGATCCCTTTCTGCGAATGAAATTCGTTCAATAAATAAACCAGATCAAAGCAGGGTGGCCCTGAGTGAAGTCAGAGCTTCGCCTGTGGCTCTAGGACATTCTCTCTAAAAGCCAAGAGCTCAAGAGTCAGGGCTTGACTCCTGCTGACGCAGTTCAGTCCTTTTTATTTGACAGGAAACAAAGATTCAGGGCATCAAGTGATTTTCCTAAACTAAGCCAAAGATGCCCCGACTTCCAGGGTATCTTCTAATGTTTGTCACTATAGTACATTTTCTCTACAATAGATGTCTGCAACATGGTGTCAAATAGGTCAGCAAGTAAAGCGTGGGTTGGACTGTAGGACAGGTCAATAGAACTTTAGTTTTCACGGCAAAATAAAAAAAAAATCTGATTTGGGAAGGAAAACGGTGGCCTAAGTAGGACCGACCCAGGGGGCAGGGGTGGGGGAGGGGGAGAGGAAGCAAACAAAACCACAAAAGTTTAAAAGCAGATTCATCATGTCGTATATTTCCTCTACTACATCTTCTGGTCATCGTCTGATTATAAATTGTTAACAGCAAACACAACATCCTACGTGCTCAAAGGTGTGACGGTGGCCAAGACACCCAGGAGTTTTAGGTCTGCCTTCTTCATAACCCGTGAGGATTCTTAATCAAATGGTCTCTAAGGCTCTTCCCTTGGAAGAGCTTTAAGTTTCTCTGAAATCTTAGGCCGTGCTACGCTACATGCCCCCTGTATGGAGAACTTCCGCCCTCATTCATCCTGTAGTAGAGCAGATATACGCTAAAGAAAAAGTAGTGAAGTAGAGAGCCAAGGAGGAGGGCTTCGATGCCATACTCCTATTCATTTTTTAAGCCTCCACTCAAAATTCCCCTCTTCCATGGACTTTCTTTTTTTTTTTTTTTTTTTTTTTTTTTTGCCTTGGGCAGATTTTTTTCACTTATTTATTTTTTTCTCCTTTAAACCAGGTACCATGAATTATTCACTTGTCTAAATCTAACACAGTATCTGGAGCAATAAATCCTCACGATGTTCCATAAATAAGACACTGAGAAATGCTATTACAATGAAATCCTCACTGGCAAAAAATCATTTGTTGAGGTTGTTTTCTGTCTCTCTCAACCAAACCAAACCAATGCGACCAAATCCCCAAATCACCACTTTAAAAATGAACTGGCATTGTTAAAATTCGTGAGGGGGGGAAAAAAACCCTTAAAATGTGGCATTGCAAGAATCCTTTAAAAATCCTTAAAAAATTTATTATCTTCAGCAGAGGAAAGCCCTGACTTCCAGTTTCGAAAGGCTCGGAGAGCAACCCCATTTATTCCATGATGTACCTACTTCAAGTCCCATCTTTGATATTATTACAAGATCTTTAAGGACCTTGCTCTATGTTTGCTGCTAGTGCAAGTGGGATAAGCTTTGGCTTCTTGCCTTGTGTGCTAGAAAAAAAAAACAAGAGATTTGGCCCTTGAAAATGGACAAAGGGAAACCTCAGTGAGTTAGGAGGCCAGAGAGGGAACCCAGAGGGCAGGCTAGTGTCTCTCAAGATGTCAGTTGCAGGAAGAACTGTCATTTACAGACTTCAACAGATGTGTCCGCTACCTACCACAGCAGAACAGTCTCCAACAGGAAAGAATCATCCATTACAGGCCCCAACAGGGAAGGACGTACACTGCCTCTTTTATAAGCGATCTGCTACCCCTGTGCCTCAGCCGATGAGGCAGTCATCACCCTGGCCTCTTAACTTTCTCTAATGGACTTCCATTCAACATGACTCCTCCCAACTTCCTCCAGCTTCTCCACAAAATAATGTCCCTCTCCTTTGTTTGCTGGCCTGACCTATGGTTTTGCCATCGCTTGTTTATCCTGCATTGTTATTCTCTGCTCTTCTCAAATAAACCCATTTTTGCTGGTAAAACAACCACGTTTTATTTTTAAGGTTCATGGTGCACAGATTTGCACGGAAGGGTGCCAAGCCTGGTACAGAAGAAAATGCATGAGAGAAGGAACTCACCTTCTTTGACGCTCAGTCGTGAGGATTGGTCTGTGTGGGAGGTTGTGTTATAGGCCAACAGTGAACCTGGAAGGCAAAGCAGAAGCAGGTTTTAATAAGGTGTTCCTCTAAGATCGAGAGTAGAAGATGGGATGAGACGGGAATGGGGAGGGAAGAGATGCGGGTAGAGCAGAGGGCCAGATGGCTCCTTGAGAGAAATGGAGAGTTAATGGCATCTGTCTTGGGGGGGAATGTATTTGATTCCTGGAGTTCCCATCAGAGCAGGTTAGGACAGAATGCTTGTGGGTGGGTGGGACATGTACAGCCCTCCCCAGCAGGCACGTTTATGACTCTGAAGTTCTTGGGTGTCCCCGCCGTGTCACGGCAGGAGCACAGGACTGGGAATGGCCCCGTGTGACCAGGGGTTAAGTCTAGGTTTGGGTTTCTTCAGCAGAAAAAGGAAGGAGTTAAACTACGGCAGGAGTTGGCAAGCTTTTCCTATAAAGATCAGATAGTAAATATTTTAGGCTTTGTGGGTTAAATACAGTCTCTGTTGCACATTCTTTTTTGTTTTTGTTTTGTTTTGCCCATGGGCCAGAGTTGGCCAGATTTGGGCCAGATTTGGCCTGCAGTCTGCAGTCTTGCCACACCCCGGAGGAAAAGCAGCACGACTCCTGCCTGCTAGGATATCCTGTGGGTTTATGGACCTGTCCTTTTGCTGGTGCTTAAGATGCTTGGATGTTCCTCATTGTCAGTGGAGGGGAGGGGTGGAGGTGACAGGAGTTCCAGTCGTGACTCTTGTCTTCCTTTGCAACTAAGAGCATACACCTGACCGTGAGGCATGGTACGTTGAATTTTCTGTCACCGCAGAGCGCTGCTAGACAATCTCTTAAAATTAAACCTGAATGTGTGACTTCTCATACCAGGCTCTAGTCTAGGAATTTTCAGGGATGATAGGGGTTTTTTTTTTTTTCTGTTGCATGTAAAAATTCCCCCTTTCCCCTCAAACGAAGCTTGTCCCTTAGTTTCAAAAGAATCCAGGAGTTTTATTTTGTAAAATGTAGGCAGCTTTGCAATTCTCCTTGAAAGTCTGGGATATGCTTTCACAGAGGACAGCATAAGCCCGCCCTGGGGGTTCAAGGCTAGGGAAGCCTTTGAAAAGTTTCCCTTCTCTGTGCAGACGGGTGGCGGACTTGGGTGCCAGGGCTGAGGACCGGGGACGGGCTGTCAGACACTCCTATTTTTAGCCTCCAGTCGTGGCAGGGATACCGGAGTGGAGCTGCTGCCTCACCCAGCTGTGGGCGTTTGGTTGTGTGCCTCGGAGAAAATGTGTGCCCTTCCAGGCCAGACGATGAGGGAGAGAATTTTATAAGAATCACCCAGCTGCCCAGCACCTATGACTTCAGGCCAGCTAGGCCTGAAACAGCTCCAAACAAAGAAGAGGAGGGGGGAAGGCGGTGTTGAGAGCCCAGCACACCAAAGCGTGGATGGGTGCACACGCCGTTTGAGAAATGAGACAGTCACATGCATGTCGCAGCCCGAGAACCAGATGCATCTGGTTGGTTAGTCTGCTCTCAACAGTATCAAGGACCAGGTGAGGCTGGGATAACCTCATTTCAATAGAGTTGTTTTGCAAACGAGAATTGGCAGTTAGACCGGCCTCTTCCCACTTACCAGCTTTGTGACTTTCCTCAGTTTACCTCGTCTCGCTAAGCCACAGGCTCCTTCTATATATAAAAAGAGGCTAATAATAACATCTACTTAACACGGGTGTTGCGAGGATTGAATAAAATACTACGCATCAAGTGCTCACAAAAGATCCCGGGTTGCTAGTGAGTGTTGAGCTGTTATCATTATTATTTTTACTCCCTTCTCCCACAGACACCACGATGACAGACTTTAAACCCTTTGTAAAAGAGCCTGCTGAGTGGCTCACCTTGTCCTCTGGACCTGGAGTTATGAATGGGTTCTGCTGCAATAAGAAATAATCCTCCATGACTGAAAGGAGGTTAAGAAATGGAACCAAACGTTCCAAGGGAATAGAAAAAAAAAAAAAGTCTCAGGAGTAAGACCAAGAATGTCTGCCTCTCTGTCCCCGACATTCCCTCCCTCAGGCTGAAACCTCACGGCTGGAGCAAATAAAGAAAAATGATGGTCTCAGAGGAGCAAACTGCTTGAGTCATTAGTGCAGATTTAGCTGAGAGCACGAAGCTTAGATAAACCACATTTATTAAATTTTCCCCTTGCTGAAAGTTCTTCTCTGGGCACATATGAATTCCACAGGAAACTCCCAGAAAGCCAAGAGAAAGGGTCGTTTGACCCCTGCAAAGCTTGCATGAAATACATATTTCATGGTAACCTAGGAAAAGGATTTTGCCCCGAAGACCGTTCTCGGTTCAAGTTTCAGTCCTGGAAGGAGGGGCTGGCTCGGGGGCATCTGGCCTCCCTCCCCAGGGACCGACATCCCCTTCTCCTGTCCCAACTTTCATGTGACAAGTTCTTCAGGCTGCAGAGGATGGCACCGCACACGCTCTTCTTACGGGAGTTTGTTCTGATACCAAGGAGGTCCTTCCTGGGGCCTGGCCTCCTGCTCTGGATTTTTTTTTCTCCCGCTTTCAGTCCCCTGTGTGGGGCTGATGTGAGCTCCTAATCTTCCTGGACCCCGTCCCGTCCCCGCAAGCAGGCTGTGACGGCAGGAGGGAAGCCCACACTCCACCTGCAGTAGGCCCCAGGCCCTTCACGTCTAGTCCCTCGCTCCATCCTCGCACGAGCCAGTATCCGTGCTTCTCCTTCGACAGATGAGAACATCAGGCTTCAGAGAAGTCAAGGAATTGGCTCAGGGTCACACAGCCAGAAAGCCCAGGAGGCTGGAGTCCCATCCTGTGTACGGAACCTGTGTTCAGGCCGGCAGACGCCGCAGCCTTTCGGGCTAAATCTGAGACACAGACAAAACTCATGTATGGTTTTGGGATTCGGGACGGTGGTTACCTTTGAGGAGGATGAAGGGGAGGCAACAGGGAAAGGGTTCAAGGGGGCTTCTGGTCTCCCCCTTGACCTTGAGCTGCAGGTGCTTATACAAGCGAGCCGATTCCCTTTGTAGATAATTCCTGGAGTCGTGCATTCATGGTTTTGCTCGATTCTGTATCCTTCCATTAAAATGTGTATTTACTTGCTTATTTACTGTGCTTAAGGCAGGTGTGCAGGCATATATGTACATCCGCCAGTTCGGGGCCCCCGAGAAGCACGCCGTGGCGCTGCTGAGAATGCAGTGCCCCCGCCCCCAAGTGAAAGCACGAGGGGAAAAAAAATCATTTTCCGTCTCTGAGCCCATCCGTCACAGGATATCGTACGAGGGATGTGAAAGAAGATGGAAATGAATAGAGTGAAGCTTTGCAGGTGTGAGGTAGGGCCCCAACAATGGGGCTTTCTTCGGCTCCGTGTCCCCCAACCCAACCTGCTCCTCATCTGAGACACCTGGAGTGGGGGAGACAAGGGTCTGGGGGCTGGTGCCAAGGCCTTTGTCTACTGCCTCGCAGCCTGCAGTTGTGGGTTCCCTTTCTCTGGGCTGAAGTGCCCGGCAGGTGGGAGGAGGGAGCAGGGAAGGAAGGCCCCGTGTCCTCCCAACAGGCTTGGCTGACTGCGGGGTCCAGGGGAAATCTGGCCTTTTGTTGTGTCTGAACCCTGTTCTCTCTTGCTGGTCAGACCCCGGCCTGGAAGGGATAATACTTCATCAGCTTAATTGCCGGGACCCATCACCTTTGCCCAGGCATCTGAGGCTGGGCGGTGGAGGGGGAGGTCACAGGACGCAGAATGTGTTTTCCATTAAGCTTAAATTAAAAATGGGAATCAAGATAGATACCTTTCCTGCAGTCTCCCTGTCACACGCTTTATTTCTTTGTCCTGTGCCACCGTGATGAAAAAACACGGTTTCACCGTCATTTCTCACGGGTCAGACTCAGAAACACACACAGGGCACGACAGACTTTTTGTCGAATGAAAAGGGACTCCTTTTCCTCCCCCTGCCTCTGGCCACCCCAAGCCCACGGCCTCCTGGGCTCCCAGAAACCCCAAACTCCCCCCAGCGGCTCCGAGTCTGTACTGCCAGCCCGGCGGCTGTCACTTCCTCTGAGGCTGGCGGGGAGGTCCCCACTGAGCCCAGGGGTGGCTCAATCTCATTTCCCTCAGCCCCTGCCAGGCGGGGTGTGCCTGGCGCAGATACTGGCGGGGCCGCGGGCGGCCGGGGTGTGGGGTGGCGCCGGGAAGAGAGGGGGACAGGGTGAGTGTGGCGATAGGTTTGGCTTTAATCTGCCTCGTTCCAGGAGGCCACGGGGAAGTTTCGGAAAGCATTTATCTCTTGGTGCAAAGGAAAACAGAAAATGCAGTGGGGAGAGGGGCCTGGCCCTCCGCACGGGAGCCCCAGGGGAGCGGGGCTCGTTCTGAAGGAGAGAGCATGGGCTGCGGATCGGGGCCTGGCAGGCCTGGGCCTCCGCTACCAGCCTCTCCCCTCCGCTGTCCGCCTCTGAACCCGTTCCCGAAGCCTCCAGACCTCAGTTGCTTTGGCTTTAAAATGGGCATTACACAGAGTGGCCCAGGTGACGTCCACAAGGGGGCGTCCTGTCCATATACAGCCAGTGGCACCTGGGGAGCTGCACCTCTGAGCCCTGGGGTCCCCGGGAGACTCCAGAATCATCCCACTTACCATCCCCCAAGGCCGCCCTCACCATCCTCCTCCCCTTGCCGGTGGGGGTGAAGTTACAGAGGCCGTGCCCTCCTCCCCGCCCGCCCGCTCCATCTGGGACAGTCAGCCAGGTATGGAGAGCACGTGCCTCCAGGCAGGCCAGAGAAACCCCAACATGTCAGGCCAGAGATACCCCAACATGTCAGGCCATCAGACAGGGCCTTGAGGCACTCAGGGCATCGCTACGTCTTCTCCACCCTGGGGAATAACACCTTAAGATGTAAGGCTGGTGTTCTAACATGTGAAGGTATAGCTCGCCTCCCAGACAACCAGGATCAGTACTCATGCACCTTTGTGAATGTGTGAATTTGACGCCCGAGCTTCCTGTCCTACAAAGGTTTTCTTTTTTTCTACCAAAGTCCAGAAAGATCAGATACTTTGGAGTGACCCGACTAACTGGAGATCTTCTGACTTCCAGCTAAATGATAGGGCCTCCGATGTCCTTCTGTTGACTTTGCAGCCCTACGGCCCTCCCTCCATCTGTGTCGGGGAGCTCAGCTCCCTTCCTCTCACCTCTTGCCCAAGTGGACAAGGCTGAACCCCAACCCCCTCGTCAACAAAAGGACAGATGCCAGAGCACAAGGAATTAGCTCCCCTTTCCTCTGCCTCAACTTAGCTGCCCCAGCCTCTGTCCCCAAAGCCCTGGCCTCCCTGCCTCAGCACAAAACATCTGCTGGAAGTAAGTCTGGAAAAACAATAAAGCATCTGAAGGCATGTTGGTCGGCACCAGGGAGTTCCCAGCCATCTTGAGAGCAGACAGTCACCGGGCACGTGACCCCCGGGCAGGGGTCTCAGCCAACCGACCGCCACCCAACACAGAGGGTCCCAGAGGCCACCGTCTGAAGCTAGACACCAGTTGAAAAGAAGCATGAACCATTTTTTTTTCCCATGAAGGGGGATCATTTTAAGTCTAGATTCCACAAAAGGCCCTTAGACGATTACAATACTATGTTGGGGCAAGTTTTTTTGAACCTTTGTATAGCATTTTAATTTTTGCTTCTGCAGGTAAGCATGGTTTTTATATCAATGCATCCAGTGCTTTATATTTAGTTGTTTCACTCGACATCCTAACAAATATGCAGTTTGTTCCGTCTCCTTTCCTTTCCTGGAAATTTGCTCTATTATGAAGCTCCTTTCTGGAAACTTCATATTCTTATTGCCCTGGGGGGCATCTTCCTTGATATCTACAAGTATCCTTTAAAAGAAAGAAGGGAGGGATCCCTGGACGGCTCAGCGGTTTAGCGCCTTCCTTGGGCCCAGGGTGTGATCCCAGGGTCCTGGGATCAAGTCCTGCATTGAGCTCCCTGTGGGAGCCGGCTTCTCCCTCTGCCTGGGTCTCTGCCTCTCTCTCTCTCTGTGTGTCTCTCATGAATGAATAAATAAACTCTTTTTAAAAATGAAAGAAAAAAGGGAGCCATGCACACTTTTTCTTGCCCTGCTACCTGTACTCCCAAAATACCAACACTCTGGCCTCCGTTGCCTCATGACCTGCTCAGTCCTTTGCTCCTTGGTTATCTGTGCTCATCCGTTGTGATTACCAGGACCCACCTTGTCAAATGACTAGGCCTTTGGGGCAGGTGACAGATAGTCTTGCTTCAGGGTCTGTGGCTTGGGTTCTTTAATGGCAGGAAATCCTAGTGGGACCTGGGTTGTTTATGGACCTGCCAAAAAGCAGGCCTGGGGAGTCACATAGCATGAATGGGCCACCCCCCCCCCCCGACATCAAGTCAGAATGTGCTTGACCATTTCCCCAACAAAGGCATCTGCCATGGAACCCTAAATTACTGGTCCCTTAAAGAGTTTGGACACGCTGTCCATGCTACTGCTGTGCCCCTCTTCCCCCACAAAGGAAGTAAAGGTGCCAATGACTTCTGGACCTCCACCATATGATGCCTAAAGAAGCAGAAAGGTAGGCTCCACTGGCATTCCTGCTAGGCCGGTCTCTGCTTCTCACTCCCACCCCCTGCCTTGCCTGGCAAGCATCGCTGGAGGACTCTGTGCAAAGAAACTTAAAAAAAAAAATCCATAAACCGTTAAACACTGAGAACTACAGATCATTAGAAAATGTTAATTCTCCGGAGCTCAGAAAAAATCGGGTAGAGAATCACCCCTTTTCTGAACTTGTTGTTTCTTGGGCTGACCTCATGTTGCAGCAAGACTCAGACATGAGGTAACTGCTCTGGTGTTAACATATACTGCATCATCCACACTCTCGCTGGTTACCAGACGCCTCGGAGAGATGACCAGAGAGCCCGGAGGCACCAGTGGAAACTTCCAAAAGGCATTTTGAAAATTTTTAAATGTTACAGCCAGTGAGTGTTGCTCCCAGGTCGTGCACTGTTGTAGAAGGAGATGGAAGGTTACACAGAGGGTGAGTTTGAAGACCCACTGGGCGATGGGGAGCAAATGAAGAACTCACCAACCCAGAGCCCAGGAGACCAGGAAAAGCAGCCCATAGGCAGCGTCCAAAGACCTCAACTTGGAAGGGGCTTTAAAATCATCAAGCTGGGATGCCCGGGTGGCTCAGCGGTTGAGCGTCTGCCTTTGGTTCAGGGCATGATCCTGGAGTCCTGGGATGAAGTCCCACATCGGGCTCCCTGCTTCTCCCTCTGCCTGTGTCTCTGCCTCTCTCTGTGTGTCTCTCATGAATGAATAAATAAAATATTTTTTAAAAATCATCAAGCTCCTTCATTCCAAAGCCTAACTCCTGTAAGACACCAGGCCACCAGGCAGCCTCCACTACGGACAGCAGACACTCCGCAGGTCGGGGTCGCTGGTCTCCCCCAGCTCAGGGCTGACTGCAGAAAACTCCCTTGTAGGAAGAGCCCACATCTGCTTCCCTGTTGCTTTGACTCCCCGATCACAGTACCATCTTTTCTGGCCACGGACAAATTCTTCAATACTTGAGGTCCCCGCAGGACCACCAGGCCTGGATTTCTGCTGAAGCATCAGGGCTGAGCTTCTTGCATGCCTGAACACGTTCTGTTCCTATCTCCGCGTATGTTTAGTATCAAATGAAATTCATATGAAATTGACGGGAGCTTGAGACCTGAGTGCTCTCATGTCGGCTACACATATGTTCGCTCATAAAATCTCCCTTCCCAAAGCTCTGTTCCTCGTCGTTGTGCCAGAAGACAGAGCCCAAGACGCCCTCGCACACCTGGAGCATCTGCTGCTCTCTGTGTTTGGCTCGCAAGGGTGTGCGGCTGGCAGCCGGCAAAGGTGGGGTTCGGGTGTGCCAGAGTGACCCCAAGGATAAGAGGAAGTGAATGTGTCAATTTTTACAACCTTATATCCTAAATCCATGGATCTAGAGTTTACTGGAGGAGCCTGAAATCATTGCACAGGAGAATACCGGCCAGGGTATCCAACTATTTATAATTACAGGGCAAGGCACTTTCTGGAAAGGGGTTCTCATGGAAACAGTGTGACTACTTTCTGGCAGACCCCACTGGGTCACCGCTCCTTGCTCACAGTGCTTCCTTTGACACTACGGGACTGGGTCAGCCCCCTTTCGGGGTCTGTCGGAGCCAAAGTGACCTTGGCAACCTCATGGGCCCTGACGTGGGGCTCTTGCAGCATCTACCCAGCCAACCTGACCGCGGGGGGGGGGGGGGGGGGGTGGGGGGGGGTGGAGGTGGGGTGGGGTAGAGGGTAGGGTCGGGGGGGTGGGGAGAACCAGGTTCCTCTTCCTGGATTGGCTCCTTGGGAAATCAGTCTTCATTTGGGGTGGCTTCGTAGAGTCTTCGCCCACCCCCGGGGGGTGGGGTAGGCGGGGCACCCTGGCCCAGACCCAGACAGGACACTTACTTTCCCTGAGATAACTGAGATGTGACAGCAGCACTTCGGTGTTGTAGAGGGAGGTGGCTCGGAGAAAGTCCTCCTTGTTCATTTTGCACAGTTCTTTGCCATCCATGTTTTGGAAAAAGGACGTGTCGATCTCCATCAGGCCGTACTCCTTGATGGCCCACTCCAGCCACTGCCGCACGTGCTCCTGAGTCCACAGCGTGGGGTCTGCAGGGGAGAGGACCTGTTAGCCTGGGTTCGGCTGGCCAGGGAGGGTCCCCCCCTTCAGGAGGGCCGGGGAGACCCTCTCTGTCCCCACCCCTCCTCCTGCCCCGCACCCCTCTCTGGCTCCCTCCCTCCCTCTGTCCCCAGGTGGGAAAGTGGGTTCCCTCCCAGATGGTCCTCCTAGAGCTCCCATCTGGCTCCTCCACATCTGGCCCTGCCGAAACCACTTAGCGCTCTGGGGAGGCTCTTAGATGTCTCCCTAGGCATCCTGACAGGATGTTCCCTTTAAAGTTTTTGGAGGGCAATTAAAACCTTTGCCTGAGAAAGGGTGGCATCAAAATGAAAGTATACACAGTGCCACGGGCCCGGGGACCAAAGTCTCTGGAAAGGGAAACCATCTGTATCTTCGGAACATGAAGGATTTCTTTCTTTCTTTTTTTTTTTTTTTTTTTTTAACATGAAGGATTTCACGGAGGAACGGGGCTCTCTAGGATGGCGACAGGAGACGACACATGTGCACGCTCTTCTGTCTGTGGCATTAGCCTCGGACATAAATCCAACCTGCGTTTTCTCCTTGTGGAGACAGCTGCTCTGAAATTTCTACCAGGTCATCCCCAAAACATTTTTATGATATTTAAGTCCCCAACGATGAAAAAGAAAAAAAAAACAGTATTGGAGGGAGAAAAACTTTCAGGCCTTTGAGTGAACATAAATAATGGAATGATTGAGGTCACCACCAGCCCGGACCCTCACAGCAACTTTTCAGCCGGGGAGGGGGGTTGTGGGGGGGAGAGGGTGTGTGTGTAATACTCTGAGTGCTGGTGATGAGTTCCAGCAAATTCCACAGCAGGTAGGGCACTTGTATCTCATCACGTATCACAGGCTGGAAGCCATCTCTCTCCTTGGCAACCAGTTATTAGCAAATCCAACGAACACCTTAGATATGGCCACCCTACAAGAAAACTATGGCTCTTGGCCACATGAAAGATCTACATGTGTGAAACATGTAGATGGGAAACCACAGGATTAAGCAACAGATTTTGTGGTGGTAGCTGAAGGAATCACGGGCAGAGGGAAATAGTGTGAACTTGGAGAGTCCTGGGAGGCTTCCCGGGAGAGGGGAGGAGACTTGACATTGTACGTCATTGTCCGTCAACCCCCGGCTTCTACTGGGCCTGCTTTATTAGCATGTTTCCTTGGTAGGAAAATCTGTGCTGCTTCTCAGCCTCCTCGCCCTTGCCTTCTAAGAGGTAACTGCTGCCGAAGGTCAGGCCAACAACCAGTACCCGGTCGCTCCTAATGGTCCAGATCTGGGGCGCCTACTATGTGCCAGCTACGTGTCCCATTTTTCACGTAGCTAGAAAACCCAGCGAAATGGCTTTTACCTTCACTTCATGACAGAAAACGGAGTTCTGAAAGGTTAAGTCCCTAGCTCAAACTTAAGTCTTCCTAGGACTTCACTTAGTTGAGGGGGTGGGTCCCCCTGACCTGAAGCCCCTCCTCTCACCCTTTCAGGATCCTGCCTTAACTCACCTGTGACTTGCTCTGCTATTACGCCCAACAGCAGAGCTCCTCCTAACGTCTATATGCATCTCTCTCTCTCTCTCTCTCTCTGATAAATTTCTTGGTTAGTTTTTTTTTTTCTTTTATTCTTCCAGAAACAACGAGGCATGGACCATTGGTAAATGGAAATAGTCTGCACCATTTTGGAATTCTAAAGAGAAATGGCATAGGTGGGGCCTGGGTTACAGAGTGTTTTATTTCGTCTGATCTCCTTTGCTTTTCCTAATTCCTCACTTTTAGTATGTGAGGCCTCGAATTCAATTTTACACCATATATTTAATTTGTTTTATTATTTCCTCTCTTGCTTTGGGCTCTATCACAATATTCTTTCTCTTCCTTTATAGCACAATGAATTGTAAATCTTCCACTCTGGATCATGCTAAACTCTTCCAAATGTATTTCCTGGATGATTTAGTCCTCGTTTCTTCCCATCTGAACCTGAAACTGGTGATTAACCAGGGCCCTCGTTTATACTTGTCTTAAAATCCCACCATAAATTCAATCAGTTGTTCGACAAATATTTTACTGCCTTGATTTGCGGACTCGCCCAAATGAGACTTCCCCTCACGTCCAAGGAGGCTGTCCTGGAGGAAGCCAAAATGTCCGAGGATAGTGTTTAAAGATCTCACCGCAGGTAGGAGAATGAAGTAAATCCATAGCTAGTGAACTCCTTATAAGAAATGCTTTAAAAACCCTTTGATATGAATCTACGCTATTATCGGGATTACTGCCATGGTTACCTTGGTCCACTGAGGACTGACAATTTGATATTCCTTTTGAAAGTATTTCAACACTGATTCAGGGTTGAAGGGTCAACCGAGCAGTCTGGCCATGTCTGCCCCCTCTCACCTCCCCAGAGTGACTACGGAAATTAGATGGTTATCGACATCTGGTTCAGAGAGAATCTCTGATCCCTTAAATCTTGAGTACTCATGACGGCCTCCCAAGCTGGCCACTGTTCGGCCAAGCAGGGCCATCTGGGGCCAGATGGGTGAAGGCCTGGTGAGCCTTGGCTTTGCTCAGGGGAGAACAAGGAGGTTCCCACCGTGTCAGCTTTACTACTGTTTCATCGTCTGCTTCTCTGACAAGAAGGAAGAAACACAGTTTTCTGGTTTTCTTGGACCCTAAAAATGCACCTGAGCTAAGGCTCCCTGCTGTCCTGAGGGAGGGAGGAGACCAAACGCTGAATGACATAAGTAATGTAACGTAGAGAGCGCACGTGGCGCCTGACATCCAGAGGGTGCGCGCAGGGATTGGGAGCTATTCTCCTTTTTCCTCTGTGAAGTCATGCGCTCCTGGAAGAAGGAAACTCAACATTCTTTTCAAGTCCTACAGGGCACGGAGAAGTTCCCAGGAGCCCAGCTTCCCCTCCTCACTGGCTCCACACCTGGCACCCCCACCGCCATCTTGAATTTGGCCCAGAACGCAGGGATGCGGCTGCAGCCCTCGGAGATGGCGAGACCCAGCCTCCGCTGGAACATAAATACACAAGGGCGTCGGAAGGAGAGCCTCACTGCAAAACCATGCCTTCTAGACCAACGAATAAATTCCTTTGCCTTGTCTAATCCTTTGCCCTCGGACACAACGGCATTTACACTTTTCCAAAGGGAAGGGGTTTTGTCTTTTTGGTCATGGTATTTTGGTAAGATTAGTTTTGATCCCTGCCCTGTAATTCACTTTCAGATTTGGACGTTCTCGGTCCTTCCACCAACTCTACACGTTGCAGTTTTCAAGCCCCCTTTCTGACCAGGCTGCTGAGCCTGCTGAGCTGAGGCGGAGCATCCAGCCAGTGGACTGAAGGCTCGAACACAATGATTTTATTTTCTGTAACCAACAGCACCAATACCTAGGAAAAATAGGCTATTTTTACATAATGACATAACTTGCTGCACACGTTAAGGCGCTCTATTTGTTAAATATAGTTCTTTCTATTTTGAAACTGAAAGAGCTGGCTGTAATTTTGGAAAGGTGGGACCCTGCAGATGCCAGGAAGTGCATGCCTGATGGACATGTCAGACCTCGGTAGCCACTCTTTTCCTTAAAGGCGAGGGCGGGCCCGTCAGGAGTTCCTGAGACTCATTTTGGATGGCCTTGCCTCTGCCCTCTTTGCAAGCCTCATCCTGTGGTCCCAGGCCCCTGGGGGAGAGTCTGTGCCATGACCTGTTTGAGGGTGGGCTTCTGATACCTGCACGTAAGGGTTCTGGTGACACTGGGGACGCTACCTTGCCTGACGGTTGGAAGGAAGGTGGGGGACATGGCTTTCCTAAGTAAGCACTCCCCTAGGGAAGGGGGTACCAGCTAAAGGTCTAGATGCCCCCTGGGACAAGCCTGCCTTCCGACTCCTAGCCCGGAAAAGTGAGGACACGGGTGCCAGGCGGCAGCCTGGATCCCCAAGTACCTGCAGGGACGATGACCCTCCTCTCGTTGGTGGTCATGTTGGGAGGAGGGGGGCCGTTCTTCTCGTCCATGTAGCTGTTGTAGTTCATGGCGTTGGACTCGCTTCCGCCAACTAGCTTGCTGCATTTGCTAACACTGCAGTCCACCGGAGACTCCCTGGAGCGAGAGGACACAAAGCCCAGAGGAAGTCATCACTGCAGCTGCCATCAGCCCAGCGTGGGCAGACGACCGAGGCGCCGGCTCCCAGCCCCACTCGGGGTAACGCCACCGCCGCCTTATTTCTCTCCTCCACGCCGTCACCAGAGTCTTCTTCAAATCCCAACCCAATCCTATAATTACGGCACTCAGAAACTTCTGGCAGTTCCTCAGTGGCCTCAGACTACAGTCTGGACTTCCCAGGATGGTGTCGCAGCCCTCCCAATCTGACTGCGGCTGACATTTTTAGCCTGGTCGCCAGGCAACAAGCACTCGGGGCCGCAGGGGCCCCGGGCCCCCAGGTAGGCCTCGCACCCCCTCGGCGCTCTGTGTCTGCCTTGGTTCCAGCACGGGTCGCATCGGGGGACTGTTGGGGTGGCGGGGGTTCTTCCCCTGGCTGGGTGGGGGGTTTCCTCTCTCCTTCAAACCTCCATGCACTATGTGGTGCCCGACAGAGGAGGTGAGTGATCAGGGTCCGCCGAGTGAACTGTGTCTGTTGCATGGATAGGCTTTTAATGCACGTCTCGGACACCATTCTATCTGAGCTGCCCAGCACCCCCTCCAAGGTAGCCGTGGCAAGGGTTACTATCTCCTCTTTCTGCTTAAGGAAACGGGGAGGGGAGTGACTGGCCCAGGGTCACACAGCTCGCGAAAGTGGAAGCAGGACTCAGGTCTTTGGTGTTAAGCTTTCCTAATCAAAACACGCGCACGCAGTGGGGATCCCTGGGTGGCGCAGCAGTTTAGCGCCTGCCTTTGGCCCAGGGCGTGATCCTGGAGACCCACGTTTGAGTCCCAAGTCAGGCTCCCTGCATAGAGCCTGCTTCTCCCTCTGCCTGTGTCTCTGCCTCTCTCTCTCTTTCTGTGTGTGTCTCTCATAAATAAATAAATAAAATCTTTTAAAAAAAAGAAAAAGAACACACACACACACACACGCAGGCACGCCCAGCTGGCTCAGTTGGTAGAGCATGTGACTCTTGATCTCAGAGTCCTGAGTTCAAGCCCCACGCTGGGCAGAGAGTCTACTTTAAACACACACACACACACACACACACACACACACACACATGCATGCAAACGAGCTGGCTGCTGCATGAAGAAGGAATAGAATTCAAGACCTTCAGGCTGCCAGCGCGGTTGTGGCTCTTGTGGCATGCTGCAGCCCTGGCCACCACGCTCACAGAAGAACCATAAGGAAGTGCAGAAGGGACAAATCATCCAACCCTGTCTTGATGTACGTAGCCCAGTTGGCACCTGGCACTGTGCAGCCCGGGTTCACAGAGGCCGCTCCCCGGCAGTGGGCCAGCCACGAGCAGCTATCTGGGGATCTAAGCTGACACCCCACTTGCGGCCACCAGGTTCACAAGAGCAGGCTGGGAAGATGCTCCCCATCCGCCCCAGCCTAGCATCATGGGCCCTCCCAGGGGCCCAGGGAAAGTGCCATCGCTCCCTGCCCCAGCTCCCAGTCAGCCACTGCAGCGGCGGCAGCAGCAGCGGGACCAAAGGGGACGACTGCAAGGCCCCGGAGAGGTTGCAGCCATGGTTACACAGTGCAGGAAGCATCAGACCTGGGAGACAGCCAGTTCTCTCAAGAGCTCCAAACCAGGCCTTCAGACCAAGGAGTTCAGATAAGGTTCAGATTACAGCGGCCCAACCTTGGGCCACAGGAAGACTGCAGGCTTCCCAAAGTCTTGGCCACTGCCCTCCCGGCTCTGCTCTGGGCAGGGATCAACCATCATGAGGACTTAAGGAGCCAGGGCGAGCCAGATAGGGCCTCGCCCATCCCGCGGCTGGTGGCGGCACCTCCAGAGGCAGGGAGGAGCAGCCCCGGGGGTGGAGGGGGGCGGCGGGGGCCCAGGCCGGGCAGGGGGGCCGGAGCCCATCCAATAAAGACAATTAAATGAATTTGTTTCTTAATCTGAAAGGAAAAAAATATTGAAGATCACTTATCATAGCCGGGAGATAAATGGTCCACTGAGATATTAGAAGTCAGACGGTAATTTTTTCCTGATGTCTTACAGAGGGGAACATGGGCTGAAAATGAAAATAAGATGTATAACTTACACATGTTAGAATTTAAGGTTTTACTATTCGCCTACTGTTTTTCCAGGCAGAGAACCAAGAACCAGCCGTCAGAGCCCCAGATTGTTGAAGGTTTAATGTCCCCATGGCAGTCTGAGGGGCGGCAGTAGCACATCAGGGCTTTTCACCAGTTGGGCCCTTTGGCTTCTGCTGTTGGGGGCCCTGGCCTGCCATGAGGCCGCCCGGCGAGCCCCGCTGCGGGGTCTGGGCCCGGCCCCCCGCCCCCGGCCGCCTTGCTGCTAACCGCAGGAGCACGCCTGAGCACACACGTGTGTACAAGTCCACCAGACATGCATGCATGCACACGTACACGCACATGCACACGCGCACACACGCCGCCCCGGCCTGGCAGTCCTTCCCAACATACTTGTCCATTGTGAAACAACCCAAGTGCAGCAGGAGTTTGGAGGATTAAGTTGGCCTTCAACCAAGGGAGCAGCGTTTTCATTGGCCGGGAACCCCGCGCGGCAGAGGGTGGGGTGGCCGGAGCACACACTTCCTCTGGCAGAGGCCGGGAGTGCAAGGGCCTTGGGGCAGGGGCGAGGAGACTCCCAGGGACCCGAGCCGCATCCACCTGGAGGTGGGCGTGATTTCGGAAAAGGGGGTGCTCCCCATTGGGAGCATCAGAGAGACGGGATTGGGAAAATGCTTTCCCCTGTCCGCTGGGCCTCTGGCGGGTTCTGAGCTGAAAGCTGACCCCTCGCCATGCAGAAGTGAAAGGTCAGAGCCTCGGGAGCGGCCAGAGAGGAGCAAGTCTCTGTCCCATAGGCACCTGCAGTGGGGTCGGGTTGAAAAGAGGAAACGTTAGGGAAAAGCCACCTGGTGGGTGACCCCGTGGAAAGAGGAGCCAGGAGCACCAAGGTGAGACAGGCACCTGACGGGAAGGGGGGTGCCCAGGTCACAGGATCGTCCAGCTCCTGGAGGGGGACACAGGGACCACAGTCAGGCCCAGGGCTCGCAGGGGGCCGTAGGGTAGCTGGCACCCCCGCGTGTGCCGTCCCACGGAGGTTCCCTGTCTCTGCCTCCTCCAGCCCCTGTGCAGGCGCCCGGGCCCCCCGCCGCCAAGGGCATGGGTCCGGCTGCCTGCTCTCGGGTGGCCCCCTATGGAATAAGGCCGAGTGGGGAGTCCCAGGCCCCTCCGCCAGCGGGGCCCTCGGGAAAGCCTGGCACCGCCATGCTGGCCCGGGCCGGCCCTCCTCTGACGCAAGGGAGAAAAGGAGGCCAAGCCATAACTTCCCGCAGGCCGGCCACACTGCCCTCAGTCCGCAAGCTCCCAGCCTGAGCCTCCTGGGCGCAGCAGACACCTGGCGTGCGGCCGTCGGGCCTGGCAGCACCTCTCCGCGGGCACAGGTGAAGGCCAGCCCCAGGGCTGCGCTTTAATGAGGCAGCTGCGCCGTAGAGAGGCCCAGAGACAAGGAGGGGGAGCGCAGATGGAGGGGAAGAGGCCTTGCCATTCAGCTTTGCCTGCGCGGCTGCTGGTTTGTCTTAAGACGGGCACTCGGAGTGTGGGGCCGGGCCCGCGGGCAGCTGAGAGCCCCGGGACAGGTGACAAGGGCCCGGGCGCGGCGGCCGCAGGGCGCGGGAGGAGGTGCCGGTTCCAAGAGTGTAGCTCAGGGCATCTCCCCGTCCGGGCGCAGGAAGCCACGGCAAGAGAGGCCACAGCAAGGGCACGTGGGCCTGGCACCGCTTTCCTCTATTCTCACCGTGGGGCGACGGAAGCTCTTTATTCCTCTGGTTCTATTTTTGGACGTTCGGGGAGCACTGCTTTAAACATACCGCCAGGGGTTTCCAAGAGTGCCTTGCAAAGTGTTCAGCAGTTTAAAACAAGGTGAGAAATCGTGGGTATTTGGGTGAGCGAAGATTACGAAGACCACTCCCAAGGGTGACCCCGATACGTTAGCCTCTAACAGGCGTCTCCCCCACCGCCTCACTCAGCCCCCAGGGATCAGGACACGCCACCCAGATCCACACGTGTGCAGCCCACGCTGGCGTCCAGTGGATTCCCTGTAATCACGCGGCTCACGCGAACGCACAAGGGCCACCCAGGACACGCGGCTGCAGTAGGACCTGTCACGTGTGTCTTCCGTGCAATGTACACACTTATCAGCTGAGCGAATCCGTGTTGTCTTTAAGATTTCTATAGGATCTGTGACTAGATGTGTGCCTATGACTTGTTGTTTTTAAAAAGGAATATGCGGGGTGGCCGGGTGGCTCAGTTGGTTAAGCGTCGGCCTCTGGCCAACGTCATGATCCCAGGGTCCCGGATCGAGCCCTGTGGGTGGGGTTCCCTGCTCAGCGGGGAGCCTGCTTCTCCCTCTCCCTCTGCCCCTCCCCTTACTCATGCCCCCCCCATACACTCTTTCTCTCTTTCTGAAATAAAATCTTTAAAAAAGAGGAATATGCAAGAAATTAAAGCAAATACCAAGGAAAGGAAAGAAAATCACCCATATTATAGCCATTTGCCCTAATCCCATAGGTATTTTTCATCTTCTTCCATACTAGGTGCTCACAGCTTCTCCAGAACCCCAAGGGTGGCTTCCCCCCAGGTGGTTCGGGACATGCTCTTTACTGCAAGGTCAGAACCGAAGGGCGCACCTGGGGAGCTGCTTTGCAATCACAGAGGCAGAAGTTCCAGGGTGTGTGGGGCTGATGGCCCTGTGAAGTCCCTACACGTCCCCTAGGAACATCCAGAGCCCGCTGCCCAGTGCTAGGGGGTCTGGGGTAGAGCCATGCTGACTCAGGTCCTGCATGCCAGGCACACAAGGCGAGCGGGTCCTTGCATTTCCCCCCCACAAAATAATACTCTTTCTTTCACGAGATGTTTTCCCCAGTCCCCGAGGGCGAGGTGGGATACACCTGAGTTATTTGCAGACCACAGCCTGGGGTCAAGTCGCTGAAGTCTCCATAGGTCACAGAGCCTTTGGGCCACGCTGTTCCAAGAACAACTCACCTAACACATTCAACCACGACGCGAAGAGCTGGAGAAAGGCAGCAAGCATCCCACAACATGGGCAAGCGGGGCTTTCTCTGAGCTCGCCAGACCTCAGTCTCCCCACGTGACCCCGTACCCCTGGTCCAAGTGACTTAATAGTGGGGTTAAAAAGCGAGAGGGGCATTGTAGCTTTTAGGCACAGAGAATACCTCCTCCAGAGACACAAATATCTACAGGGTCTCTAATAAGCATGAACCAACTCAGAAACCCAAGCTATCAGAGGACATGGAGAGATGCACCTGCACCGCGAAGCGTGGGACGGTCCAAAGCGTCCCGGCCCGGTGGCGTCCAGTTTGAAGCACAATGTGAGCCCACCTACGTAATTTTCAGTTTTCTAGCAGCCACATTTTTCAAACAACCCAGGTGAAATGAATTTTAAAATATATTAGAATATATTAGTATGTTAACTCACCACAGCCCAAAGAAAATTATCCAAAAGAAGTGATCACGCAGCCAAAAGAAACGATCGTTTCAACATCATCAATATGAAAATAACCAATGAGCTATTTTACTTTGTTTTCTACCCCCCACACTCTTCAAAGTCCGCTGTGCATCCTACATTTCGAGCACGTGTCGGTTTTGGATTAGCCACATTTCAAGTGCTCAGAAGCAACGTGTGCTGCACTGGATGCCACAAATCTAGTCCATGAGCCAGGAGACCCCAAATGAGAGAGATTCTCTGCTTTGGTTTTCCTGTCTGAAGTTAGGGATTCTTTCTACTCAAGGGGCCATTTCAATAATACTCAGGGGGTTAGGGGACGCACAGTGTCCACGATGAGAGATTTGAATTGTCTGGCATCTTCCTCATAGTGTCTTTTTTTTTTTTTTTTTTTTTGCATGGCCAAATGATAGACTCATCCTCAGCAAAGTCATTTTTCTGAGAACCCTTGCTCCCTGCTGCCCACCAGGCCGGTGGCCTACATGTGAGCTCTCGGAGAATATTTCTGAGAGCCCACTGAGTCTTCTTTGTTTCCCCAGGTGGGTGAGAACGCGCCGGTCTTTCTGAACCTGCCGTGTCACCTGCAGAGGCTCTGGGTCAGGACAGGCAAATCAAAAGCAGGGGCTGCTCTGTGCAACCAGAGCCACGTAACTGCCACATCTGCTCCCTGGGGGCGTTCACACAGCTCTCCTCCAGCTGCCTGCTGCTCTGACTGCAGCCAGGGACGGCTGGCAAGCGGGTTCTGAAAGCTGCTTTCCTTGGGGGCCCTCTTTGCCCAGGATTCGTACATGGGGAGTGCCCTCCTGGGGAGACAGTGGTCAGCTCCTAAGTGCAGCCTCCCCGGAGCGCAAACCCAGGCTCTTGCCGAGGCGATGCCCACACACTTTGGTGGACTATATACACCCATGACCTATGTGGCTTTGAACAGGCATCTTCACCTTTGAGGCTGGGTAGTCGTGCCTCCATCTGCTTATTCATTTCATGACTATTTATTGAGCACCTACCATGTGCCGGGCACTGCTCGGTAAACAAAACAGGGCCTTGCCTGCATAGAGAGGGATGTGGTTGACCAGGAAGGACTAAGAAAAATCTAAGCAAGGTCCAGAGTGATGGGTGCCGCGGTCAGGGAAGGCCTCTGGGAGGGTGACATTCAGGCAGAGACCTGGAACAAGCAGGAGAGAGAGTCACATGCCTAGACAGGGTAGGAATGTTCCAGAAAGGAGGACTGCAGGCAGGAGACTCTGAGGCAGGAGTGTGCTTGGGGCCCAGAGTCTTATGTGGCTGATGCAGAAGGAAGGAGTGAGACAGGAAGGATAAAAAGGGTTTCATAGGGATGGGGGGCGGGCATGGGGAGGACTTTAGATTTTGTCACAAGCTATTAAAGGATTTGGAGCAAGAGTTAAATATTCTGAAAGGCTGACTCTGGGGGCACCTGGGTGGCTCAGTTGGTTGAGCATCTGCCTTCGGCTAAGGTCACCATCCCGGAGTCCCGGGATCGAGTCCCACATCGGGCTCCCTGCTTAGTGAGGAGTCTGCTTCTCCCTCTCCCTCTGTGCGTGCTCTCTCTCTCTCTTTCTCTCCCTCTTTCTCTCTCTCATAAATAAATAATCTTACAAAAAAAAGAAAAAAGAAAACTTTATAAAAAAAATAAAAGGGTTGGTTTTAGCCACTGTTTGAAGAACAAACTTCAGGAAGGCAAACAGAAGTGGGGAGAACAGGGTGCTACTGAGGTGGCTCTAGAAGGGCAGGAGCTGCTGGTCTGGCTTGGGGTGGGCCTGCAGGGGATTCAGGCTCCGACAGACCAAACCCACTCCAAGCGTGGAATCTGGATTTTCGATAGGCATCAGAAAGGTCCGTCCTGGGGTCGGACCAGTTTGGGAGGCACTGCCAGGTTGGGTGGGGGCAGAAACTGGACCATGAGCCCCAAAGCACGATGTACAGGTGGGGAGGGAGGGGCCCGAGAGGCGGTGCCAGCAGTGCCTCCTCTAAATCCTTACGTGAGGCGTCTGCCAACCCCCTGCCCCCAAACCCCCTCTGCCTTTAAACATCAAAATGTAATTGCAACATTTATCTCCTAGGATCACGGTGGGGAGCAAATGATAAGATAATACGGAGAAAAACATTTAGCAAGCGATACCCTCCCTACACGGTGAGGACCTCATTATCTTTATTATATTTGTGGAGAGACGCTCATGTGAGAGGCTCCTGGCTTAGAACCTCCGGGCCTTCGTCAACTGCTAGACTCTGGGACGGTGGCTGCGATCCCAGTGGCTGGTTCTGGTTAGTGGGGCTGAGATGTGGTAGGGCTGGGTGTTCCCACAGGCAGGTCTGAGACCAAGAGTTGTCTGGGGGAGGTCTCCTTCCCAGCTGCACGCTCACCCCCTTCTGTTGGCTCCTCTAGACTTGGTTCCTCGGTGACCTCACCCACCCTTAGTGACAGCTCTTTAGAGATGATGCCCAAACCTAGGTTCCAGCCCCCAAATATTATCTCCGCTTCAGTTTCCAAGGCCCAGCAGACATTTTTATCTGGATGTCCTGCTGATTGCTCACAGGGATCTCAGAGGGAACATTGACATCTCTTCTCAAAGCATTTCCTTTCCTACCTCCCGTGGCTAACCGCACCATCCTTCCCAAAAACATGCAAGCTCAAGCCATTTTTTTTTTACTCTCTCCTCTCATATACCCTCTGTCCCCGCTCCCCCATAGACTTCAATATTTGTCCACCTGAGGCCTGCACATTATCCCTTTGCTGTGTCCTTCTTGTATCTATTCCTTCTGATTTCCCTGATCATTACCATCACTTGAATCAGAACTTGATAATTTCTTAGTGGGATATTTCACTAATGTCTTCTCTTTCTGACACTTCCTTCCTCACCCACCCTCTGTACACAACTCTGTAAACCAAGCTCTGAAGATGTTACGCATCAAGTTTATGCTTCAGGTCGGTATCTGCATGTGGAATAAATCCTCTATTTTCTAAGCATGCCATTCAGAGCCCTCTCTCTTTTATTTTTCTTTTAAATTTTTTTTAAAACTTTTATTTATTCATGAGAGACACACACAGAGAGAGAGAGAGAGAGAGAGAGAGAGAGAGAGAGAGAGAGGCAGAGACACAGGCAGAGGGAGAAGCAGGCTCATGCATGAAGCCCGATGCGGGATTCGATCCCGGGTCTCCCCGATCATACTCTGGGCCAAAGGTAAGCGCTCAACCGCTGAGCCACCCAGGGATCCCCCAGAGCCCTCTTTTAATTTCCATTTTTATCTCCTTGTGCTGTAGGCCCATTGGCTGGCCTGATAGTCCACGAATAAAACTCATATTTTCTCTCTTTTAAGCCTTGGCTCAGGACGATCGCGATCGCTATCAAGCACTTTCTGCGTCCTAGGCACTGCCCTGGGTCCTCCCTCTACCGCATCAGAGTCAACCAAACAGGCCTGTGAAGGAGCAAATCCTCCAGCCCCCGGTTCAGAAAGGAGGAAGCTGGAGCTCAGCTAAATAGCTCGTCCGAGGGCACAGCCGGGAGTGAAACGTGGGCTACCCACCCTCCAGGTGTGCCCTTCCTTGCTCCTGTGATGCTTCTTTGCTTGGGCTCTCCTCCCTGTTTCCATGAGGAAAGTCTTACTGCCCTGGGCACCACCAATTTCTAATACACCTCCCAAGTGTGATGCGTCCTCCCTGGCACAGGAAGCCTGTAGACGTGATCGTCTTTGTTCTCACTTCTCAACTTTTACTGCACGGATGGTTTGGTCATCTTTGAGACTGACCCAGAGAGGTCAAGTATCTTCAACAGGACAGGTAATGTATGTCGTCACTAAGTTACCCCCAAGAGGGACTCCACCCAGGCCTGACACAAAATAGGTGTTCCAGAGTGTCTGCATAGGGCCACGAGCCTGACTCTGACCTGGCCTTTGAGGGCTGTACCAAGGTGCAGAGAGCCAGATGGACTTTCCTGGCCCTGCTCAATCCCCAGCCTTTCATCTCAACTCTCTAGGGACTGACTCAGGCTCCCCAGCCCAGCACCGGAGCCCCCACCTGCTCTAGACACCCTGAGGGCCAGAGGCCACTTAGGTCAGATCTGCTTGATTCAGGTACCTGGGGAGCAAGCCTGCCTCGAGCCTCCGCAGCCCCGCACCTGGCAGCCGGCCGTGCCCACCCCTAGGAGCAGCGCAGGCCTGGTGGGCTTACCTGGATCCATTCATGTGGTCATACTCCCGCTTGACATTGACCCTCACCGGCTGATTAATCCACTCCTGCTGCGGTGGGAGGGGGTTGATTTTGTGGGGCTGGCCATAGTCAGGGCTCCCTGAGGCGGTCATGTCAGCCTTGGGGAGATGGGCCGCCGCTCCGTAGGCAGAGTCGAAGAGGGACTGGTCGTCGCTCACCACCGACAGAGCCTCCTGGAGGGTCAGAGAGGGAGACGGAAAGCCCAGTGTCAGTTCACCTCATGTCACTCTTGACCTAGTCTCCTTCTGAGCTGGCAAGGTGGCCCAGGGCTACCCCAGGCGGCCAGTCCGGCTTGCTGATTGACTCACACTCCTGGGGCAAGTTTACCAGTATGCAAACTCACTGGGTTCTCAGCAGGTTACCCTGGTGAGGAGGGGTTTGGGGCAGCGGAGTGGGGCTGGGGGAGCCGTGTTCACTGTTGGGTCTGTAGGAAGGAGGGCGGGGAGCAGGGGGCCAGGAGGAGTGGGTCCACGGTGTGCGTGTGTGCGGGGACCTGGTGGTGCTTGCTGGAGCAGTCGGGCTGGAGGGGGATATGAAAGTGAGCCTTGATTTTATAGGTGAGGCCAGCAAGACCCACTCAGAAAGGTTAAGCATCCAGCTTAAGGTCACTCTAGGGAAGGGTGGGGCCCAGGGCTGTGGCTGCTTCTAATTTCAGTTTCCTTATCTGTAAACAGGAGTAAGAATAGCTTTTTCAGAGCTGATAGGTGGGTTAAATGAGAAAAGGCTTGGTACAGGTGTCTAGCTTGAAAAACTGCCCCGCACTGTGCAGGGGGGTTCTCCAGGATGTGCGGTGCATCTTACACATCCGTGACTCAGTTGGGAGGCTGCCTGCCTCCTGGGGACAGTGCTCGGTCATGCTTTCTTGCCTGGCTCCTGGAGATGAGAGCTTCCTGTCTTAATTCTGATGATTCAGCTTGCCCAGGAACGAGGGCAGAAGCCCAGCTCTGTGGATGGGGGAATCCAGCAGAGACTCTCAATCTGCCCACGCCTCCTGTCCCATCACCTGGTGTAAGGCTGGCTTGCGGAGATCCGCACTGCGCAAGGGAGCCTGGCACTTTGCAGAGACCTCCTACCCACCAAAGCACCACGAGAAGATGCTCCCACTATTCCAGCTCACATCAGATCACAGAGGCCCCGGGCCACAGACTGGGGTGTGATGTTCACTAGATTGCATAATTAAACCAAAGTAAGTTGTCTGCCTTTCAGAAAAGAAGGGAACGATCTCTAACCCAGAATTAATTTATAATCTATATAATCGGTAATTATACAATCTGCAATTGTGAAAATGAGATGGAATGATATACAGAAAATGCTTAGAACAGTCTCTGGCACCCACTGCCACCCGACAGATGTCAGCTATGATGATTCCTAGCGTTCCAGTGAAGGTTTTCTTAGGCTATTTGCTACTTTTCCCTTAAATTCACATGTTAGAGCCCTAACTCCAATACCTCGGAATCTGGCTGTATTTGGAGAAAGGGGCTTTAAGGAGGTGATTCAGTTGAAATGAGGCTCTTCGAGTGGGCCCTGATCCAATCTGACTGGTGTCCTTATAGGAAGAGGATATCTGGACACCCAGAGCCCGCCATGAGGAGAGACAGCAAGCCATCTGCAAGCCAAGGAGAAGCGCCCTCAGAGCCCGCCAGCAACCTATCTTGCACTTCCAGCCTCCAGAACTGTGAGAGAATAATGTGTTGCTAAAGCCACCCAGTCTGTGGAATTTGGTGATGGCAGCCGTAACACAGCCCCTTTGCTTAAGCCCTCCTTATACCTTGTAAAATGACAGTCCGCTCTACCAGCCGACTGTCACTGTTTCTCCCAGGGTCGTTCTCCACCCCAGCAGGAGGACAGCCAGATTTCAAAGAAAAAGGCTCTTCTGCGGCTGTTTCCGGCTGGGATCGGGGAAGAATTACTGGAACCTGCTCCAGGAAGTCTGGTCCTGCACCAGAAGGCTTTGGATGGTGTAGATACGGTCAGAGATGGCAGTTTCAAAGCTGAGCTGCCTGAACAATATCGAAAGGCTCACGTCCCCCAACCACAGAGGTGTCCCTTGACTCAGACCTAAGAGATGCTGGGATCCTTCTTCATGTTTCACTTAAGTGCCCTTGAGTCATGCTCAGATAAAAGCTGGGCTTCCTAGAACCCCTGTCTTTCCATTATTGGACCCATCCTCTGCATCCTGTTAGGGAGCAGACCTGGCTCCAGGTCCCAAACCAGTTTTGAGTTGCCATCCAGGCCCTCCGTGTTATGGTTCCAGGTTGAAAAGCATGACATTATAATCTTCCAGAGAGTCGAGCCTGAGTCCCTGAAATTCCAGGGGGGTCCTACATGAGGAGCAGAGACACATTCCCACCTAGGACCCATCAGTGTGCTTCTGATGATAAAGGTGAACGCTCACCAACCCTGCTGCAAAGAGAGACCATGTAAGGAATTGGGTATCGTCTTCTACTGCAGAGAGTGGCTTTATGCTTGGCCAATCCTGCACAAATCTCAGAGTTTCCAATTAAAGAACATCTTACCTCCCTTCCTCGAGGTCAGGGGAAGCAATGATGGAATATTTGAAGGAAAAGAGGTGGGGCTGGGGATAGCGATGCCCTAAGGAAATAGGAAAGATCCCTCCCATCACTATCCCCAAAGAGAGCGGGCCAGGAAGCAAGAGAAGGAAGGGTTCCAAGTCCAAGGGTGCCAAGCAGGTGGCAAAACCAAGGTTCAAGTCAAAGATGGCAACAGAAACAGATAAGGTAAATTTGGGGGCTTGGATGGCAGACCATAGAGAGACTTCTGGGGGAAATGAGAACAAATAGCTGACGGGACAAAGTGACCGTGTGGTAAAGGGCAGAAAACTTGTTTGAACTCATTTTGGAATATAGTTCACAATCAAAAGAGACTCCAGCCAAGTGGTAACATCACAGGGGCAGAGAACCCTGGCTTCCTCCAGAACCTGTCTGGCCCCTCCTGCCTGACCGGTCTTCGTCCAGCAGGCCAGGCACGTGTGCGTCCCATTGCCTTTCTTTTTCAGGCTCTTTCCCTCACGACTACACGCTGGCCCGCTCCGCCCTCACTCAGCCCTCCTTGCACATTCTCCGGTCAGCTGCAGCTCCCTTGGAAGTTGGAAATACATCCTGCCACGGCGCAACTTCCAACCTCCGAGAGCTCGCTCCATGTGGACCTCAGCAGATCTCCTGCCAGCCGCTTGCTTTCCCACAACTCAGCCTTACCCACCCTCACGTTTCATGACTTCCCCCTCCTGCACCTCCTGCCCAATGCCCCCTGTTCCCACTCTCTCCCTCTGTTTGGGCTTGCATCACTTTGTCTGGCCTTGGGCTGTGGGCACCCTTTCTTTGTCCTTTCCACCTGCACGTGCATCTGATGCTCCCTATTTTCTAAGGTAAATGAGATCTTCCTCACCCCATGAAACCTTCCCTGATAATTCCCTCTAACTCATTTGAACTTTTAACAGCCCAGTAAGAATACTGCTTGGGTAGGCACAAGCCCTCTCTCTCTCTCTCTCTCACTCTCACTCTCTCTCCTACTTCCAGTCATTGCTAAGCAATTGCTAAGCAATGGGCTCCCCCCACCCTTGCCCCATAACAGTATGAAGAAAAGAATTTGTGGTTGGGGGAGGCTGGAAAGAGAGAGATGGAGGAGAACAGCTCCTAAGGGCAGGAGGCCGGAGATGAAGGCCACTTTGTGGGAATAATAGATTTGGGCAGACTGGACCCCAAACAGGCTGATTTAAGATCCTGGTGGACAATTAAATTGGGGATGAGAACATTCTCACCATCTCTGAAAGGAAACAGCACTCCTTTAGTCATTGGAGGCTGGGAGCTATGGGAGCATCCCAAGACCACACCCCTGGCAAGTATGCTTCTGTCTTTAAGATGGGGAGCCTTCTCCGAACTGCTTTGGTGGCAGTGGGCGCAGTGAAGGAGGACAGGCCAAGAGGGAGGGGCGGGCACAGAACATGGCCCCGGGTGTCTGTGGCCAGCAGACTTGTATGAGAGCATGATGTCACTGCTGGGGACTCATGGGGACCACCAGAGGGTAACAGGTGTGGGTGTAGGCACCAAGCTACTGCTTTTATCACGTGAGAAGCTATTCAGCTGGCAGACATTTCAATCACATACTTATAGGTTTTACACACGTGCAGCTCTTGCTGTTTTATGTATGTCTTATAAAGCTGTTTACTTTTACTTAAACTCTTAACACTTCTAGAAGTTTAAACATAAAAATCTTAACACCAAAAACTCCTTGCAGGAAGGACTTGTCAGTTTTCAAGAGCTTTTGGCTGATGACTTGATAAGAATTTAATTTTTGGATGAGAAACCGAGTTTAGAGAGACCTTCCACATGAAATTCACAAACTATTCTTAGGGCCACTAAGTTCCTTCAGTTCAGAACAGCTTCACTTTTTCTATTGACTTTGGGCATGACACAAAAGACAAGTTATTCTTTACAAGGTGGTTGAGTCCGGGTTGCTTTGAGCATGCTACATAAAAATTGGCTTCAAGGTGAAGAAGACAGAAGGTATAGGCACCCTAACCCTGTGTGGCCCCCGTTTCAGGGTTAATTCTTTGCCCTAATAGCTGTCACTGGGAAAGGAAGCCCTGGATTGGTGTCATCATTATATTCTGAGAAGCATCTTTCCTTTGCTCTGCTGATTGCTGGGACAACGAGGCTTGTAATTCAGGGTGCTCTGGTCCCTCAGCCACTGAGTCCTGGACCCAGAGGGAGGCACATGGTGCCTTGACTCCAAGCACATTAGCACCCCACTTGACCCATTTGCCAGAGAGCTCAGACAAGGTCAACTACCTGGAGTGGCAGCTGGAGTTGTGAGCTAAGTGGATGGCCATATTTGCCCACAGAAATGTTGACCAAACTGTGTCAACCTCCCTTCCCATGATCCCCTGCTGGTCCAGGGAACCAACAAAGGTATAGGGCGAATGGGGCACCTGTCTTGGTATGGGATGCTCCTTACCCAATTTGGATGAAGGGCCTTATAACATCGCTTCTAATATCTCCTGCAGTCTCATTATTGAAAAGTGGTCATATACTCAGCCATTAGAAAGACAAATACCCACCATTTGCTTCAACGTGGATGGAACTGGAGGGTATTATGCTGAGTGAAATGAGTCAATCAGAGAAGGACAAACATTATATGGTCTCATTCATTTGGG